CAATGTATCTGAGGGCCAATTTAAAGCTTCCCCATCTCTAGAGCACAGAACGGGAATTGGAGGCTGGGTGCGTGGAAGGGGAAAGGAAGGGCTGTTCTGTCAGTGACTCCCATCTCCCTCACAGACAAGGAACCTGCTTGCTTGCCCGTGTGAGAGGATTGTTTCTCTCTGCTGGCAGTTTCCTCTGGTCTCCATATAGCTGCTGGTGGTGCCAACAGACCTTCATGATTGGGAGATGGTTCTCAAACAGCTTGTAACTTTGAGTACATACTGATTTTATATAATCAATTTACTTAACACTTTCAAAGAAAGAAATAACAGGAGAGATGTTTATCTGTTTGGGCTGACATAACAAAATACCACAGACTGGGTGGCTTATAAACAATTCCCCCCAAACCCCCACCAAACCTATTTCTCCATTTCTGGAGGCTGGAAGTCCAACATGGTGGGATCCTGATGAGAGCGCTCTTCTGGGTTACAGACTGAGTTCTCTCTGTCTTCACAGGGTTGAAGGGCCAAAGGAGCACTCTGGGGCCTCTCATAAGGGCACTAATCTCCTTGATGAGGGCTTCTTCCCTTAACCTAATTGGGGCAGCTCCTACTGGGGCAGCTGTTATTACAGCTCCTCATAACATATCCTTGGGGGTTAGGTTTCAACACATGGACTCGGTGGGGACACATTCAGACCACAGTAGTGTGCTTCTGTTTCACACATCTCTCTTCCAGACCCTCCCATCTGGCTTTCCTAGGTGAGGCTAGTGGTGAAGAACCTGCTTGCCAGTGCAGGAGATGTAAAAGACATAGGTTTCATCTCTGGATTGGAAAATCCCCTGGAGAAGGGCATGGCAACCCACTCCAGTATTCTTGCCTGGAGAATCTCCATGGACAGAGGAGCCTGGTGGGCTATAGTCCATGGGGTCGCAAAGAGTCAGACATGACTGAAGCGACTTAGCACAGCACACACGGTACATCAACACTATTTAAAACATGGATTTAGTTCAGCCTTATTCTCAGGAGGCCAGCTGCCCCATTTCTCCAGTGCATCCTTAGTGTGGGAGGAGAGTCAGGCTTCTGAGGAGGGAGCCCTCGGTGCACACAGCTCCAAAGCCAAACAGTCCCAGTGCAGCAAGGATGGCAGATTCTAGCTCCTGGGGCTTCTCTGGTCCTCCTAGAGCGACACCCGCTGATGTCCTGCCATAAACCGTGGCTCTGGCTCTGTTTTGTGTTCCTGCAGATCACGAAGGCATCCAGGAAGAGGCTAACGATGAGCCTGGCCTACTCAGAGAGCCACCAGCTGCGCGTGTCCCAGCAGGACGTCCGGCTCTTCCGCACCCTCTTCCTGCTCATGATATCCTTCTTCATCATGTGGAGCCCTATCATCATCACCATCCTCCTCATCCTGATCCAGAACTTCAAGCAGAATCTGGTCATCTGGCCGTCCCTCTTCTTCTGGGTGATGGCCTTCACCTTTGCCAACGCGGCCGTCAACCCCATTCTCTACAACATGTCCCTGTTTAGGAACGAGTGGAGGAGGTTTTTCCACTGCTGCTTCTTGTCGGAAAAGGGAGCCATGTTGACAGACACGTCTGTCAGAAGAAATGATCTGTCTGTTATTTCCAGCTAGTTCATTTTTCTCTACAGGCATCTATGTGTTCCCCTCTGGCCAGCCATGGTGTGTTTTCAAAGGGAGATCGTTTCCATGACCCTTGGCCATGGTACCCGCTCTCAGAAAATGTAACCTATGCAGATGCCCATTTTCAGCACTGGTAAATTAAGAGGTGATCATTCAGTATAACAGTTTTATCCTGTATAGAAGGATTTTCTGTGGGTTCCTTTTCAATGTGAACTTCTTCGGTGTGGAATATGATTAATTGTATTAATTTTTGTTTGTGACTATTCAGCAATCTCATCTCCTATATGTAAAGCCGTGCTGTGCAGGTTTCTGAAGTGAAGCTTGGATTCATGACTCAGTCTTCTCCTCCAAAGAGTCACAGCCACCCTTACTCCCCACCCTGGACTTGCAAGGCTGCAGGATCATTCATCGGTGTGAAGAGTGCTTGAGGAATTTCCAAGGAACAAGAATTTAATTTCCAAGGACTTAAAGGTGACTTTGTTCATCACTGATAATAGGAGAAGCTTTGTCATGAAGTCACAGAGGAGGTCGGATGACCCCAAACATTCGGAAGTCAGAGGAGTGACTCCCTTCCTTGATCCACCTGTCAGATGCCTCTTAAGCACATGCTGAGGCTTAAGCCTAACCAATGACATGGTCAGTGTTCTTGGTGGTGGGAATACAGCAGTGAACCAGACATCCACGGACCGTGTCCTCATGGAGCTCACTTACCTTTCAGACGGGGCAGAGAAACACCAAACATGTCAATAGATCATATAGTGTTACAGAGTGAATTAACATTGTGAAGAAAATGGGACAGTGATGACAATTTAGATGGAGTGTTAAAGGGCCTGGGAAGACCTTTCTGAGGGGTGATATTTGAGTCAAAAGGGCAAACCACAAGAAGGAACCAGGCATGTGAATCCGGGGAATGAGGCTTTGCAGACGGAGCAGACCCTGGTGCTGGTGCAAAGAGACTTGTGTGCTTGTGGGACAGAAAGACCGGCATGAACAAAGCGAACTATTGACTAAGCCTCCTCTAGGCCAGGCCCTGTCCTTGAAACCAGAACAGAGGGATGCTCTGCTGGAGGCCATCAATGGAGACAAGAGGGGTTACAGGGCTGGCTTATACCGGGCTAGGGAGGCTACCATCGGAATTTGTTCTGTGTTCAGTGGGCAGCCACTGGAGATTTGCATTTGGATGCGGATATGACCTGCTATTTGTTTTTAAATATTGCTCTGGTTGCCCTGTTCAGGAAATGCTTTGTGGAGCAAGAATGAAAATGGACACCAGTTAGGCAGCTGCCAAAGTAAAGAAGGAAGATGGGGAAGTTTGAGGCGGATGACATCGCTGTTGTTGTTCAACTCTTCACAACCCCATGGACCACTGCATGCCAGGCTACCCTGTCCCTCACCATCTTCCAGACATCAGCGGGGGATTGTGAGAAATGATCTTGGGCATACTTTGGGAAGGCAGAGCAAACATGATTTATTGATTGACAGGATACAGAATGTGAGGGAAAGAGAGGATTCAACAGAGACTCCTGACAGCCACAGGACGGAGGGCAGGCAGCAAAAATGGAGAAGGCTAGGAGGATGGGAGGTAGAGGAACCAAGAGTTTCATTTGGGGCATCTGCATGTGAAACCCCAGTGAGAACCAAATGGAGAGCCGGTAGGTGGATGCAGGGCTGTGGGGTACAGGCCTGAAGATCAGTGTTGGGAGTCATCAGACAGTGTTTGCAGATCTATGGTTTTATGAAATAAAGAGAGAAGAAACCAGAGCCAGAGAGAACCCAGGGACACACCAGCACTTGGAAGCTGGGAGAATGGCTGGAACAGTAGCTAGGGGCCTGGTGCATAGTACGAGCGCAACCAATCTTTGTCACCGAGGAAGTTGGAGCCAGTAGCTGTCTTTGTTGGAATTTCTTGAGCAGCTCACTTTCGAAGATTTATCACAAGCTTGAGGACAAGAGGACAGGGATCCTTTGTTCATCTTTAGTTAATAAATTTGGTCAATTAAAGTTGCCTTTTGAAGCGATGTGTGACTGTCTTACAGGTCTCTGGGGTGACAGCCACTGCTGAAGAGCCCAGCTCTGGCATCCCCTTTCTGGTGAATGACAGGCAGAGCTCTCCTGTGTGTGTTCCCCTGCCTCCTCCCCCTTTGGTGGAAGAACAAAGAACACTGATTCAGGGCCCTGGGAGCCTCATGGCCCCTTGATATGGCAGCACCCAGGCAGAGGTCTCTGCACACACGGGAGGCTCCCCGCCTCCGGACACACCTCATCAATGTCAGCCTGGCATCCGCCAGTGTTTGCACAGCTCCTAAGTGCTCTAACTGAACCCTCACTGCAGCCCAGCAGGTGGACACTGCTTCCCCATATTTCACAAGAGGAGAGTGAGGCTCAGAGAAATCATGCAATCAGTCCCCAGTCATACAGCTAATTATAGCTGAGCTGGATTTTGATGCAAAACCAAGACTCTGGTACCAAAGCCTTGATGCCTTTTCAAGATGATAAAAGGCTCCTAGGAGCTCCTGGGAAATTGAGGCATACAACTGCACGCAGTTATATTATAGATTAGTGTTTACACGTGCTGCTAATGGTATAAGACACTGGTGTCCTTCGCCAGGCCTGGCTACTTCCACCCCCATCACCCGGACACTCCAGGTAGGGGATGCCATGATCTTCCAACACACCTGGTTTCAGAGTCCCATCTCTTAATTCCCCCAGGGAAGCAGGTGCTGGACAATAAGGCCTGGGGAACCTTTCCTAGAGCTCCCCCAGACCCAGGCCTCTCAGACCAGCTTCCACCCACTTCACGGGCCTTGGGCTGACTGAGGCTGGGGCTGCTGGCCTGGCCCACATTCACCTCTTTAGGCCTCAATCATCAAGGCTGTCCTGGGTTAATGGGGAAATCCCTTTTTCAGGAAGTTGAGAGAAGACATAGTCATTAATAATGGAGATTAGGTGCTAGAACAGGCCAAAGATCAGAACTGGAAGAGAAGAACCCCTCCCAGTACAGAAATGCGCGCCTACCCCACCACCAGCAGGACTTTTCACTCTTACACAGACGTGGACACAAATAAAAACCCAAATCATTGGAAATGGGTAACTATACATATTTTAATAAGTCAAAGTCTGGAATCCTAAACCTCAAACGATTCCTTAGAAAACTCCAGAGAAGACATACATTTGAGTACAAGCAGATTCACTGATCCCCATGTATGTTTTTTACGTATACTGAAGGGGTTTTTTTTGTTTACAGAGGGGAGGGGAGGGGTGGGAGGGGTAGGTAGGGGAGGTGCAGCAAACTAAACTCCTAAGGTAGAGTTGGAGGCTGAGTAAGGTTAATGGTAAGTTTCCTAATGAAAGGACACCTTCCATGTTGCTACAAAGTGTTTCGTTCTGACTTGCCATCACAGTAACCTGAAATATAGAAAACAAAGCTATTAATGACAGAAAAAATATTAGGATGGTTGTAGGGCTTGGCATTGTTCAAGTGCCTCTTGTCAGGGGACAGCTAGATGTGTAATACATAAACATCTTCGAGGTTTTCTGAACCCTCTGATTTCTCTGGGGGAGAATGGGGTATGGTCTGAGAGCAAAGGATCTGCCGTATAAAGTAGTGTTCTTTCTGTCTTAAATTTGCCTCATTGCATTTCAAAGAGATGAGGGTAGCTCCTCCTCATTCAGGAAGTGAGGGCTACTCTTTTAGCAGTTTTATAGAATGTTCACTGTGCCCTGTCATATGTCACCAGGTGGTGACACAAGGGGCTTCAGAGTCACACGACAACCTTGGCTTGCATCTGACTCAGTTATCTACTGAATATCTTGGGCAACCTTCGTAATTTTTTCTTAGCCTCTGTTTTCTCATCTGTAGTATGTGGATCATGAGAAAACCTACTTCATAAGGTATATCCAGGATTAGGTGAGATGAGGCAGGCAAAGGACTTGGTGGGGAGCCCAGCTGGAGTGCAATCCTTTGCCTGCCCTATATTTAGGCTATCCCCAGCTGAAGCATCAAAATCTTATTTATGTGTTTGGTTTGGGTTCATATCTGTTTGGTGTAGTGTGGGTTAGCTAGTTAGATGACCAACAGAGAAGTTCAGTTTTGTTCTCTGTTTTCTCTTACAATTTAGCATTATTCTATTTGGATTCTGAAATGCAGATTCCCATGGGAATGTCTATTCAAAATAAAATGTGCAGTCTCCTCCAAAATGCTACTGGTTTTTAAATCAAGATTAGCCAAGGGTGATATTCATAAAAAGATTCAATGGGGCTTCCCTGGTGGCTCAGACAATAAAGAATCATCTAGCAATGCAGGAGACATGGGTTCGATCCCTGGGTTGGGAAGATCCCATGGAAAAGGGAGCTACCCACTCTGGTATTCTTGCCTGGAGAATCCCATGGACAGTGGAGCCTGGTAGGCACAGTCCATGGGGTCACAAAGAGTCAGACATCACTGAGCCACTAACCCTCTGGTCTGGTCAGGGAATCTCAAAAAACGTGAGAAAACCAGCTAGTCAACTTGCCTCTCTTTAAGTGTTTACACCAATGGCCACATTCGATGCCCAGCTCTTCACTGGGGCCACTCAATCCCCAAACAATATTAATTCGATCAAAATGGTTTTTTGGGCAGCGAAGCCAGGAGCAAAATCATGTGACTACACAGTGGGCCTGAGGTAGCAGATAAAAAAGGAAAAGACTGTCCCCTTTACTTAACTAAAAGGGCCAGGGTTTTGGATAAAAAGGTTTTTGCCCAGTCCTTCTGCATCAGCCTCATGAAAAGGCCAGTGAAAGACCTGGTTATGAAGGACGAAGACTTGGACTCAGAGGGGGACCCAGGCTCCCCTGTTTTCTTCTGCATGCAGATGTAATGCATCTCAGGGCCTGCAGACCCGGGGAACCTGCTCCCACCCGCCACTCACCATTGTGAGGGATCAGCCGGTACTGCCTGGCCAGGCACAGCTCCTCCTGCCTCTGCCGCACGATTTTCTGCACTTCCGGGGAAAAGCCGCTGGGGTCTCGGGCGAATACGAAAGAGTAGCTGTCAGCGCAGGTGCCATCGAGGTTCAGGAGGCGGCAGGAGTACTGCAAGGCATAGGTCTCATAGTCCGTGTCAATGATCCAGTGGTCATCGTCTGCAGGGCAGAAAGCCACGGGGCCTCTGTATCTCCTTCAGGCACTCAGATGCCAGGGAAACTTAGCGCCGGGCCCCAGAAACCAGCCACTTCCCCAAACTGGGTTCAGAAGTTAGAAAGCAGGAGACCACAGGGAATTCTGACGGCAATTAGAAAATTGGGACCATGAGAGAGGAGCTTGGCCTTCACAGGAAAAAATCCTGGAGCTGGGGGCAGGGGTGGGAGGGACCACATTTACTTTAATGACTGTTTCTCTCCCTGATGATAATGTGATTGTATCTTTCATAAGAAGAGCCGAGAATGTGGACCCATCAAAACCACAGTCTAGACCTGGCTACTGCTGTCTTCTCCATCTACCCTCTGACAGCATCTCGTGCCTCTGTGGCTGACGTTGATGGCCACCAACATGTGCCATCCGCAACATAAGCATGCGTCCATTGCATTGATCTGTATCAGCCAGTTCCCGGCCCTCTGACTACCCACACGGGCCTCCTGCCTCTCAGTCCACTGGGTGATCTGGTTCATGGCCTTTCTGGCTCCATCCTAATTCTGGCTCGGTGACCTGACTCACTTCTCTCTCCAGGCTGGCAAGAGGGTAGAATCTGCCTTAGGGGCATAAGATGCCCACCTTTTGACATCAGATGTTCTTCTTAGAGAACTGCTCAGAGCTCTCTTGACAGAGGCAGAGTTGAGCCCTTGAAGAATTTAGATTATATTTCTTCCTAAGACTGGGATGTAAGCCATGCAGAGTAAGTGTAAACAAAAGTGGTAATAAGGTCAACAAAGGCAGGATGGGAAACCACGTTCATAAGAATGCAGGTGAGAGGTTTGCCATGGAGAAAAACAATGGGGATAACACCTCTGTTATCCAAACACCTCACATTTGGTAAAACGTGTCACATCTCTACTTAACATTCTTGTTGATATATAACCATGACCAGGATTTTCTGAGCACTTAGTGTCAGCTATCGTGCTTTCTCAATTATTTTTCACAGCGACTGAAAGTGCACTCTATCATCCTCATTTTCCAGATAAGAAAACTGAGGCACAGAGAAACTAAATAATTCACCCAGGGTCACAAAGAGCAGGATAGAATTGAGCTCCGATCTGACTCTGGAGCCCCCATGCCTAACCTCTACAGCACACTGTCTCCAGGCATTAAGTAAACTGGGGGCCACAGGGGATAAGAAACAGGAGACGCTAAGCCTCTGTGTTTTCATTCCACACCCAGGTCATGAAGCAAGTGATGATCTCTGCTCTATTTCATGTCCTGTGCTGGAGGAATGCAGAGGAACCCTCAGCTCCCAGCACTGAGGGTGTAAGGGAGATCTCTAATGCTTGCCTAAGTCACTTCTGGGTGTGCCTCTTGGCTCTGAAAACCCCAGGAGTCCCTGCCAAGGAGGGGCTCAGCCTGAGACCAGGCCTTGCAGGAGAGCTGCACCAGAGTGGGTGGTGAACCCTCCCTTCATCTCACTGCAGACCCTCCACGAGGAGGACTGAGCCACTCCTGAACCCCCCACGCTTTCCCACAGGGCGTGTGTCAGAGGCTGTGGTGGGAAGGGCCAGACATGACCACTCAGGGGTGGCCGTGCTCATCTGTTTGATAAGATGCAGAGTCTAAAAATTACTAATCTTCTGCCCCCTGGTATCGATTTTTATAGTCCATTATCAGAAGTTTATCTTTTATCCTAAATAGATCACTTTAGGAAGTTTTGCTGAGTTATTTGAAAAAACTTTTATTATCTCTAAGGATAAAAGCTTTCCCCCTTGTTGAATAGTAAGTCCTTTTATATAGTGTACATCAATACTGGATGAGCAGTTTGATAAAAGATAAAATTTCATCTAACACAACTGTAGAGGAAGTCGAGGAGCGTGTGCCCTGGGTACATGGGCTACATGAAAGGACATTTTGCCCTGGCTCACCATGCTAAGCGTCCCCCTGAACAGGCCCTGGGGCCTATTTCCCAGGAGAGCGCCAACAATATTTTGTAAAATTGTAAAAGTTGATTGTATTAGGTCCCTGCTGTTCAGGACCACCTAATTTTGACCCGGGAGCTAGAACCTCCGGCTTCTGACACTGTCTCTCACAAACTTGTTTGCATGACCTTGGACAAAGCACTGTCTTTTCCCCTCTCCCCACCCCCTTTTTTTGGCCATGAGGCACGTGATATCTTAGTTCCTGGGCCAGGGATCAAATCTTCACCCCCTGCAGTGGAAGTGAGGAGTTTTAACCACTGGATCACCAGGGAAGTCCTACCACTGCATTCTCTTGACTTCAATTTATTCATCTGCATGTTGAACCCCCTTCAGAGTGGTAACTCTCCATCTTTAAGATTCCATGATGGAACTTCCCTGGTGTCTTGGGGGGGAAATTAAACAAATTAAACCCTCAGGTTTAATCCCTGCTGGGTGATCTAAGATCTCGCGTGCCATGCAGCATGGTCAAAAAAAAAAAAAGTAAGATTCCATGGTATGCCCCTCTGGCCTGCATTATTCTCTAGGTACCAAGTAGACTCTGGATTGCAGCTTAGGAGAAATGAGGAAAAAGTAGAAAGAGCATGTACATGCATGTTCCCAAAAATTTGTATCAGGTTAAATTTTAGGATGCTCTTCTGAGAGTCCTTAACACTCTGCTCCCCATATGAGTTTCAGGGCTTGGGAGAAAGGGAAGAGGTCACTGTCACCCAGAACACTGTGCCCGGCTCAGACTCTCAGCACCCAGCATGGGCAGGTAGGGTACCTGGGAGTGAGCCAACTTTGTGTCCTTTGATGAGAGTCTCTGAGCCTCTGCTGTGGCGTCTAGCAGTCAAGCTGTTTCAGGGATTCAGCCCAAAGAAATGGAGGAAATGCAGCAGCCGCAGCACCAGGCTCGGGTGATGTGAGCTGGGTCTTGAGGAGGTGGGAGGTCTAAGCAAGGGGAAGGCCACACAGGCTGGCGCAGGCGGGATGGGTAACCGGCAGGAGGTGGTCAGGTGACAAACCCAAGGTCCTTTTGAGCTTGGGCCAGGTTTCTGGGCTGGGAGAGGGGATGGGAGGTGGTGAAGGGGCCTAGCTACTTCCAGCCTCCAGCCGAGCTGAGAGTTCTGGTTACTTACATTCTTCCCTAAGGTGCCCTTGGAGAAGAAACAAATGGCTATGTATGTCTTCGATCCCCCTCAAGACAGTCGTACCGATCTGACTACTCACTTCCTTTCTGGAGAAAGGACGCTACGCCCCAGTACTTCATCTTGAACTTGGCAGGGTCCTCAGTGTCTGTGAAGGTGCCCACCATGTCTGCACACACGTCCCAGTTACTGCAAAAGCCAAGGGGATTCTAAGCCAGGCCGGGCAAAGGGCTTCCTCCCCGCATCCCACCCCGGGCGCTCTCTTCCCGCCCCAGTCGGGGTTTGGCGCTCAGCCTGCGGACCCTGACGCGCAAAGAGCGCAGCCTCCGCCCTCCCCCACCCCCGCCCCCAGAGGTCACTGACTTTAAAAGACGGACTCGGCCCTTGGCCGTGGCGCTCATGTGGCCATTCTCGTCCACGGAGAACTCGGCGACGATGTTGTCTTGCAGAAAGAGGCCCTCGGGGTCCTTCTTGGCCATGGCGTACCAGGTGCCGGCGAACTGGGGAAGAGAGGAGAGCCGGGTTCGGTGTCCGGGAGAGCGTGGCCGGCGTCTGGGAAAGGGGAACGCGGGGCACCCGGGACACCGGTACCTACGCGAGCCTTGTCGAAGTTCTCCTTGACTCGGAAGCTGCTCACCCGGCAGTCGCGCTCCGCTCGGGCGCTGCCCAGCGCCGCCAGTAGCACTAGCGCCCACACCCACTCCATCTCGCTCGGGAGTCCGCCCTGCGGGAACCGCGCGCCGTGAGCGCCTGGCGGCTGGACCACTCGGCCCTCCACCACCGGTCCCCAGGCTCCATCTTGCCCGCGAGGGGCCCCCCTCCCGCCAGCCCCCCGGGTTCTCATCCCGCCCGCCCCCAGACCCTCATCACACCCATCCCGGGCCCCTATCCCTCCCGCGCCGGCCCCCCATCCCCCCGGGCCGCCGCTCACAGTCGGGAGCTGCGCGCAAGCCTGGCCGCGGGTCCGAGCGCGCGTGGAGCCAGCAAGGCGAGCGCGCCGCGGGGGCCGCCCGGCTGCTTTATAGCTCCGGGGGGAGGGGGTCGCGCTTTCGTAACGGCGCGGGGTGAAAGACCGAGGGGGAGGCGCCGGGGCCGGCGGGCCAGCACTTGCATAACGCGCCCTGACTCACCGCCGCCCGGGCGCAGGGAGGGCGCCTTGGGGCGAGAGCCTCCCCTCCAGCGCCGCCCAGGGCTGGAGCAGCTGCCGCGCGGGGTGGCCTCGGCGGAGCCTCCGCGGCGGCGAGCCGCGGGCACCAGCCCTGGCCTAGTTACCCGGCGCCCGTGCCAGCGGCCGCCAGCTGCGGCCTGGGGTGGCCTCGGGGCCCTGTTGCTCTGGCTGGAGGCTCGGGTAGGTCTGGCGGGAAGACCAGACCGTGGCCTCCCAGAACGAGGGACATCTGCGATGCTGCCCGGGCGCGTTAGTGCTCGGGCCTGACCGTGCCAAATTGGCCCCTCGGTCCTCTGAGGACTAGCTATGCAGGAGTTTGGGACTGTTTCCGCCACATAGTTTTTCATTTTATAAAGGATGTCTTTTACTCTCTTTCAGGGGAGTTGTGGTGCCCTTGGATCAATATTTGTTCTTTAGTTTCAACATCTTTAGAAGTATTAAAACCCTCCCTGTTAAATATTCTCCAGAAACGCAACCCTGGTCAGGACAGGAAATATTTTAGCAACCTCGGTGGTCGCCTACTTAGTCTGTGGCACTTCGCTCAAACCACTTTGTAACACACCTACCAATTGTTTATGCTGCCATTTGATTTCAGAGGCAGAGTGGCATCTTGTTTTGTTTCCAAAACAGCTAAGGTGAATTGACTGTGAGCGGAGGAGAGGGGGAGGGGAACAAACGTCTGTGACGTCAATGGTCAATTAAGTCGAAATGCTGTGACTGGTTGTGTGATTTTGCCCAGTGGCACAATTCAGGGCCATGTTTTTCTCTTTCCATTCAGAGTTAGAGCTCCTCTAATCTGATCCAAGCAGTCGGAAGACGCAGCTTTGGACCGAATGAGAATTAGGGATAGGGCAAGGAGGTATCACCTTTTTGTAAGATCCCTTTCATCAGTTGTGTCCCAAATTGGAAAAGACCAAGGTGAATTTGGTCCATTTTGCTACCGCCATACCTGAAATAAGAGAGGGTGGAGGTGCAGGACGGTGGCAGCCATACAGAGAAATAAAGAGTTGATGGTCTTTACAGGGCACTGGGATTACTTCTGAGCCTCCTGAAAAAAAAATACCTGTGGCTCCTGCCACCTTCCTGTGACCCCTTGGGCCTCTCCCTGTCTGATGGTCTGCTTTCACTTTCCACCTTCCTCTCCACTCCTGTTCTCCATTTGAGTCTGGAGGTGTCTCTGGAGTGCCAACCTTGATGCAATTAACTCCTTACTGCCTCCTCCTTTCTGCTAAGAAAGCCCTGTTTCAGGCCTACCAGCTAACTAGGAGCTCTTCTGGTGAGGTCAGTTTTATCACAGGCTGTATAATCCCAAACAGAACTGCACATGGAACAACGGACTGGTTCAAAATTGGGAGATGGGTGTCAAGGCTGTGTATTGTCACCCTGCTTATTTAACTTATATGCAGAGTACATCATGAGAAACGCTGAACTGGATGAAGCACAAGCTGGAATCAAGATTGCCAGGAGAAATACCAATAACCTCAGATATGCAGATGACACCACCGTTATGGTAGAAAGTGAAGAGGAACTAAAGAGACTCTTGATGAAGGTGAAAGAGGAGAGTGAAAAAGCTGGCTTAAAACTCAACATTCAGATAATTAACATCACAGCATCCGGTCCCATCACTTCATGGCAAATAGATGGGGAAACAATGGAAACAGTGACAGACTATTTTTCTTGGGCTCCAAAATCACTGTAGACAGTGACTGTAGCCATGAAATTACAAGATGCTTGCTCCTTGTAAGAAAAGCTATGACAAATCTAGACAGTGTATTAAAAAGCAGAGACATTACTTTGCCAGCAAAGGCCTGTGTATTCAAAGCTTTGGTTTTTCCAGTAGTCATGTATGGATGTGAGAGTTGAACCGTAAAGAAGGCTGAGCACTGAAGAATTGATGCTCAGCCTCAATTCTCAAGAGACTTGAGAGTCTCTTGGACTGCAAGGAGATCAAATCAGTCAATCATAAAGGAAATCAACTCTGAATATTCATTGAAAGGACTGATGCTGAAGCAGAAGCTATAATACTTTGGCTACCTGATGCAAAGAGTGACTCATTGGAAAGGACCTTGATGCTGGGAACCATAGAAGGCAGGAGGAGAAGGGGACAACAGAGGACGAGATGGTTGGATGGCATCACTGACTCAATGGACGTGAGTTTGAGCAAGCTGTGGGAGATAGTGAAGGAAAACCTGGCGTGCTGCAGTCCATGGGGCTGCAGAGTCGGACATGACTGAGCAACTGAACAACAACAACAACAGCGTAATCCCAAACAGCTCCAATAAGGTCTGCTTCAGAGCCACTCCTGCAGGGACGCTGTGTGTGGCCATACATGTAGTCATTACCTATGCTCACTAGTTATAGGTAGGGTCCCTTTCTATCTCCTGTCCAAAGTGTGGTTCCCCTCCTTGACATCCCAAAATAGAGGTCTATCCACCTCTCCTCCAGTACCTCCAGTGATGGAGAGCTCCTGGCTGAGCCCAGTTGCCTTTGGGCTTTTATGACTCTCAGAAAAGTTCTCCTAATACTCCCAGCCCTTGACAACTGTTTCTCCCAGAATGATTCTTGTGATCCTTGCTTATGCTTATGAAAAATAAATGTAGGGGATTTCAATGCATTTTTACGGGGATTGTTTTTGCATCAGTATGTTTTAATGTATTTGTTAAATGCTTAAAAGTTGATATAACTGTTCTTCCTCCCCCACCTCTCTCTCTTTTAATGATATATTGTAACCCTCGGTGTCCCAGATACCAGCAAAGAAAAACAGTTTATTTTGGCATTCTGTCTCAAATTTCTTCATGATTACAAACATGTGAGTAGAGGTCAACTGGTGTTTTTTAACTTTGGTGCTTTGAAAGCTATCCTCATAAAATATTTTTTTTCAAATATACTTATATGTGTGTATAATATCCACAGGAAAACTGTTCACAGTGATTACATGTGTGATAGGATTAGGGATATTTGAAAATTTATTTTTGATTTCTACCTTTTTAAAAATTTTCCAAATTTTCTTACAGTGAAAATATTTAATCAAACAAATACTCTCTTTGCAGACTTTTTTCTTCTAGAAGTAAGATTATGGTCTAAATTACATCTTGTGGACTGTATATAATATACACAAAAGTTCATTTCCTTGTCTGCATCATGGAAAGACAAATCATGTTTCTCTCACCTTGGTATGCATCTCACTCCCAGCTTTTCCACAGGATTTATCAAGAGACTTACACAGAGTTGATGCTTGATCAGTAGATATTGACTTAATTTGTTTTACTTAAATCAGTCACTTTAAGTAAGCTTTATAAAATATTTATTTAAAAAGGCCCAATCAGAGGTCAGTCTTTCTAAAAAATAATTTCCAGGATTTATTAATTGCAGCAGGGAGGGCTAGCTGTCCTTTCACCGAAAAAGTTTTCACTCCCCTTCCATGAGGGCTGGAATTGTTGCAAAGACACCACCCTGCTAGAAGACAACCTCCCCACCCCGCCACCAGCCAACTTCCTACAGTTCTGTAAGGCCACATGCCTATGTTCTGGTCAGTGGAATGTAGATGAAAGTGCTGTGAGTCATTCCCAGATGGGGCTTTTAAAAGCTGCCTGTCTAATAATTAGTCTTTGATGTCTGTCTTCCTTCATCTGCAGTCTGGTGAAGCCTCTCTCAGCCTGGGGACCCCACCCATGATTAACTTTATGTGAATGAGAAATAAACTTCCATTCGACTTATGCTGCTGAAATTGGAAGTTACTGTAACAGGAGCTGGTGTTACCTTAACTAATACAGCAGCAAGTCATTAACTCCTAGGAAATATTGAAAATATTTTGCTGTAGTAGAAAAAAAGGATGAATGTGAGAAATTTGTGTCCTTAGCCTCATAAGAATTAAGCATGTCCAACCAGCTCCATTTTGTGCAAACTAATGTTTACATCCACATCTTGACAGAGAAGCCAAGAGAAGTTACAAACAAGGAAGTCAGGTAGCATTTATCTTCTGACTGCATTTAAAAGATTCCAAAATAATTGGTGGGAAAAAGGAAAGATTAGTTATTCAGCCAATGTTTTCAGGTACAAAGAGTCAAACTAATTTTTTTTAATAAGGACTTTTCCCCAGTGGTTACAAAGCCATCAGTCAGTTTCATCAATTTAGTTGAAAGTAATATGGATTCCATCATATAACTTATCTGTGAGATACCTGGTCATACCCATCAATTAGGTGCAGGCAGAAACTGTCATGAGAGCAAATGTGCCAGGTGAGAGGGCCCTTGGCAGGTTGACTACTGGGATGTGCCTGAAGTCACTGCTATTAGGGGGTGTCTTTGAGTGATGAATAATGGCAGGAGCAGAGAATCTGGCTAAAGTGGAGCTGAAGAGTGGGTCCAATATAATGATTCAAAATGCACTTGGTTAATCCAGCATATTATTGTTAGTTTTATGACAGTGCTTCAACATTATATGCATGTTATTAATATTTTGGCTGTTAAATAAGCATTACCTCCTGCAGAAATAGTTAAGTGTAGGGGAAAATTTTAGCGATGATGTAATTAAATATT